TGCTAAGACATACTAAAATGTATAACCTTGCAAATGGTCTCCATCGCACACTCGATACTATTAGCCATCATAGAAACCAGACATAATCAACAATAGAAATAGTCTGACATGTTTCTTCCTAATGTAATAAAGTGAAAATATATTCTCCACAACGGTTTCAAAATTTCTTTGGATACAGCACACAACATACGTAGATCTTCTGTCTTTCCTTGGGGATTCATCAAAAATTTCTTCACCATTGCACCTACCTGGGTAAAAATCTTTGGACTTAGACAGCTTGATGGTGGCTCCCGTTTCTTTTTGCAATTGAACAATTGTCTGTCCTCCCTTCCCAATTATAGATCCAGCAGCATAACTAGGTATGAGAACCTTTAGAAAATACTGGCCGTCTTCTGAAAAATGCAAAGAAATATACTTGGTTAACATGATATTTTAAACTTCCTATGCCCTCTCCACCCACAAGAGTGGAAAAACAGCAATTAAAGAATTGGGCAGATAGCTGCAGAGAATGTGGGGTTAATTTTTTATAGATATAAAGAACAGCAATTGCACTTAAAATAAAGATGTACAAAATGTTGTCTAGTTTGTGGGACTTATACTTTAAAACTTGGAGTTAAAATCTGAACATATTCTATGACTATGCAGCACTGTAGAAAAGGATGACTAAATTCCAGCTGTTAGTCCAAACATGGAAGTCTTCCAATTTTTATCTGTGGTTACTATGGCAAAATGAAATAACAAAACTTCAGAGATTTATACAGTGACAAACCTTCACTTAAAATAATGGAAAGAAAAAACATTCAGGGCTGTAAATCGTGGTGGGGTATTTGTTTGACATTAGGACACATGTAAGTGCTGCAATTAGCCATTTCCCATACCCCACTTAAAGTATGCAAAACAATTACTGCCCTTCCAAACAACCCACCCAAGCTGTAGGGGTGTCTTCCAAGCCTGCAGTCACCACCAGGAAACAAGTCACTGTGATGTGGACTGACAAATCTAAGTAATCCTGGTGCATTTCTTTTGCACTTCTTAGTCTACCATGATCCCGCTTAAGCTCATTAATTAAAGGACCTTAAGAAGATTTTTGTTAGTATTACAAAGCTTAGGAGTCATTTATATTAAATACCCTCAAAAGTGACTAGATAATGTTCTTCCTCAAAATAACAAATACAAACCAAGAAAACCCCACGAATTTTCGAGCGTAGAAGGGGGCAGATGGATCAAGAACACAGGAAATGAAATGTTTTCGGAAATAAAGCCAGCTCCATAAACTTTAATCTCCTTCCACCTGATCATGTCTTAGGAAGGAAGCATCCCGCTAAATCCGGCTTTCTTATGTGAATGAATGCCCCAAATTCTTCAGGTGTGCCAGTCACCAGACCCCCATCCGTCTCTAATGTACATGCTGGAGATAAATTCACCTCTGCCTCGCTGCATTGGGTGCATGGTTAAGCTGACTCCAGTACAAATGAAGACGCGGTCCCGGTCCCGTTATAACTCATCTTCCAAGGAAGCACAGAATGTTAACTAACAAGTCCCTGTACCAGACACCCCCACCCTCGTCTGCACACCCCTGAAGACAAATCAATGAGATGTTTGCACCGGCAATACAAGTGCGGTCACAGCATGCACGCCTCAAGATTTTACAGACTACTTGTGGCCCAACGCAAAGGGGATGGAGAGAGGGAAAACTCTCCTTGGTGCCCCAATCACTGGCAACCCGCTACCCGAGTGCCATTTATTTATTTATTTTATCCAACTGTTAAATGCGGCGCGCATCTTTGGGCGGCCATCACCTCACTCGGGGGTCATCCCTCCTCCTCCCCCCTCCTCCCCTTCCTCCTCCTCCTCCTC